GAAAAATAACCAGAAAACTGGGACCGGAACTGGAACTGGCGCTAGAACCGACAGTCCAGTTCCCGGTTCTTATAATATAGGAAAACCGGTTCCGGTTCTAAAGTTCATCCCTATTAATAACATGAATTTTCATTTACCTACATGACACCGTATCTATTCTATGAAATAATATCTTATTTTCTATAATGATGACTTATTTCAAAAAGTTAGATGCTATTTTAGGAAGTACATATGATGTCATGTATGTTACTGAAAATTCATATCATTTTTAACACATTTCATACCGGAAATAGGGGACACGGTGGTTACAGTGTAAATTTCTTTAAAAAACAAATGATTTTAATTAACCAAAAATAGTGGTTTAAACCGCAAAATGACCCAAATATAATGACTTTGTTATATTGCCATTTTTTTTACAACCCATATATTTTTACGTAATTGTTGTTTTTATTTTCATGTTTTGGGTAATTAGGAATTTAATTTTGTCTATTAAGAAGTAGGTGTGAGACTCATGTATTACATGGGTTTATTTAAAAAAAACTAAATACAAAATTCTAAACATTTGAAAAGTATGAATTTATAAGAAAAGTAAAAAAAATATTGAATTATAAAAGTTTACGTGTTTTTTTTTCTCTTTTAAATTTAAACAAATAATTTAGATTTAGATAAATAAATAAAGAAAATTAATGAATCTTTAATTTGGTAATTTTGAAATTAGAAGGAAAGTTCATTAATGAAATTGATATGCATTTATTATTGAATATAAATACTATCTACAATTTAATAAAATGAAAAAACCATAAAATGACATGTGGAATAAAAATTAATTTGAAATAACCACAAAATTACATGTGGCAAAATAAATGAGAATGTGACATGTGGCAAAAAGATCTTTATTTATTAGGGAGGATGTTTCTTTGTATGTTATATATTATAAGTTTTTTTTCATAAAAGGCCATACAATATGTTTTTTTTTCGTTTTAGATTTTTTTTTCTCTAAAAATTCCAAACTTTTATCTATTACTTGTTATTTCAGTCCCGAGTAGGTTACCAACAGGTAAATTGAGTTTATTTTTCTTTATAAAAGACCATACACTTTTGCATTTTTTTTCATTTTAGACCTAATTTTTTTAACTCAGCTTTAACATATTCCTTATTATTTCATTAGTGGAGCTGGTTACCAAAAGGTAACCCTATATCTGCTAACTCATGTGTGCCCTAAGCATCGATAACCTAAAAGAATAACTGATTCAAAAACCATATGTCACGTTTCTGCTTGTTCTTCTTCTTGTACACCATATAGGGTCCCCCTGAAATGGTTTCTTCAAGCTAGGAATATAAACTTAGTAGAGAATGCTGAAATAAAATTTCGCTATTGTGAGGATGAAGCTCATCTGTTTACCTCTTGTCCCAAAGCTGTTTTCACAATATTTAGTCTGTTTGCAAATGTTGTCCCTATATTATTTTCACAATGTTTGATGATATATTTATTTTAATAGTAACTTTGATATTTTTTCAAGTAATTTGTTTTTTTTACTTATAAGGCCATTTTGTCTCAAGTATTTATCAATAATTTATAATGAGTATTAAATTTATCTGACACTATATGTATGGAGGATCATAGACATTAGCAATTTTTTACTTTTGTAACCTCCAACATGAATTTACATCTCTTTGGCACTGACATTAGCTTCAAGTTGAAGGTTACCAAGGTAAAATAATAATAGTAATAAAATAGCTAATGTATGAGATCCTCCATACATACATGCCGAATAAATTTGGTACTCATTGTAAAACATTGATAAATACACGAGACAAAATAGGCATAAAGGTAAAAAAAATACGTATCAGCTTACTTGCAAAATTATCCATGTATACTGCCAAAAAAATACCATTAGACCTTTTGAAAATAATCTTGAGACAACATTGAAAACATACTCAATCTTGTGAAAAGAACATTGGGACATTAGGTAAATAGATGAGCGTCATCCTCACTAAAATAATTTTATTTCAGAATTTCTTACTAAGTTTATGTTCTTAGTTTGAAGAAGAAATCATAAAAAAAGAAGAGGAAGAAACATAAACATGACCTCGGGTTTTAGAATCGGTTATTTTTTAGGTGATCGATGCTTATGACACATGTAAGTTAGGGGGATATAGGTTTTAATGTTTTGAAAACTGACTCCATTAATAAAACAATAATGAATAGGTTAAATTTTGGTTTGTTTTGAAAAAAAATAGATTTAAAACGGGGAAAAAAATACAAAATATAGTCTTTTATAGAAAAAAAAAATCAATTTACCTGTCAGGGTCGAAATAATAAATAACAGGTCAAAATTGGGTTTTTTTTATAAAAAAAAATAGGTCTAAAAGAAAAAAAAATGAAAATATAAGGTATTTAAAGGAAAAACTCTATTATACTGTGTAACAACTATATGATCTGCAAACGTTGCCTTAAGTTGTGCCAAGGTAAATTTAGTTTTATAATAGATAATGAGTAAATCATGCTATTATTTATGTTAAAAGCATATTATCTAAAAGTATAAGTCTTGCATAAAACATGTTTTTCCTTTTTGTTTATTGACATTAAAATGTTTTTATCAACTAGAAGTGGCCAGGATTCAGCTGAAAGCACAATAAAGCAGTCCAATAGAAAAAAGAATTGAAATCGAGCCCAATATACATATAAAACCTTATACTCTTAGGCTATGCGGAGTCGAAGTGCCAAGCCAAGTCGCCATGCTCGCCAACTTCATTGAAACACCGCCCCCTAACTCTCGCTAGGGGGCTCACCATTGTTGAGTCGTTATAGTCTTAGCGAGGTGAAAGAAAAAGCTTGCTTGGTTTTGATTGGATGCATGCATGTTCCAGCTTTACTTTTCAGTTTGCATGAGAATAAAAAACAAAACATTTTTAATATATATATACTTATGTGTAAGTGTTACCACTTCTTACAAAATGTTATGTGTAAGTGTTAAACAAAGAAAAATGATGTGGCATTAAAAATACTTATGTGGCAAGGTGACAAGAGTGTCACCACTCCTCTTAGTCTTATAGAGTTATAGCCGATTTGGCTCCCTAATCATTTACTCGATTTTGGCAATTTAGTTTTGAAGTTGTAATGTTTTGGACCTCTCATATCTTTTTTTTAAATCGTAAATCTAATGTACTTATAAATTATTCATAATTCTACTTATATCCTAAACGGATTTGAAATCTCGATTTCAAAATCGTTTGACTAGATCTCTTTAGTAAACCCTTCGTATCTACAATCTTAAAACAATTCTAGTTTTTATATTTTTAATAATTAACTAATAACTAACTTACACATCTTTAAATCTATCCTAAACTTACACCATCCTTAGATTTGGTTTATAATAATTTGATATACTTCTAATGGTTATTACTTATATAATTGACAAGTGTATTATTTTAGCATTATTTTAACAGAAATGTGTACAAACCGAGCTTCTTAAGTAGTTTGGTTCGAGATTTTATCAAATAAATAATCATCAAGTTCAAAATTTTATACATTTCGCACTATATGTGAATTTTCAAACTCTATATTTATAACGACCAACCTACCTTTTTTTGCAAATTTCTTAATCTTGTTTTTAGTTTTTTAATTCTTTGGCGTTCCAACAAAAAAAAATATGATACCCGAGCTGTGTGATTGAATAGTTGTTCATAACAACAAGCGGAACAAAGAACAACCACGAAATTCCAATTATGATACTCATGAACAAAGTTTTTTCCCCTTAAAAAAAACCTTATAGGAAAGAATATAATCTCATTTCCAATTCATAACACATGAATTTATTCCTATTGAGTTATCTAAAAACAAACATAAATAATAAAAGATCCATAAATTCGCAAAAATAGAAAAATGTGTTAAGCCCTTAAAAAAATCTCGAATGGCTGAAAACACCTTATGTCATGGGATTGGGAAACAATGTGTTTTCTTAATCATCTCTTTCCCCATTGATCGTGTGAATTTCTTCCAATTTCGAGATCATAAAATCAATTTACCATATTTGTTGATGGTGTCATCTAGTCTTCGATCATCCCAGTGACAATGTTGTGATAATGTTAGTATGAGCTCAACCTGTAACATCATAAATTATACATGCTATATATATACCTTTGAAAACATATATGAAGAATATGTTTAAAAATTATAACCACTGAACAACATATGCATACTCATATGAAAAACATGTTCGAAATTGCAAACTAGTGGTTTTAGAAAAGTATGTTAGAAATTTATAATGGGGTTCGAAAATTCGGATTTTCTCAGAAAAAAAATGTTGAACTTGTTTTTTTTTTGTTAGGACAACTAAGTTCGAAAACCATGAAGTAGTTTGAAAATTCTCATTTTCAAAGTGGATGACCATTCCCGAAATTCATAAAAAATTTGGTTATACATGTGTGTATATGCAATGTGCTTATTTTGACGATTATCTTTATTTAAATAGCATTTCAAAGAGGGGGAAAATGATATCTTCTATCATATTACTTATGTATACCTGTGAACTAGTCAAATCATGGTGTAGTATACAATGAGTGATAATAAACTTTTATTTTTTAATTTGCTCATTAAAACTTGAAACTATGAAAAATGACGAAATAGTTAAAAAAATTGTTTTATTTAAAGTGAATGGTTGATTATTTTTCTTTCTTTCTAACTATGGCCCGGTATAAATGATTTTTCTTTTTAACTATGGCTGGTATAAATGATTTTTCTTTTTCTGAATGTTCAAAGATCTTTGTTAATGATTTGCAAAATTAAGTGACTAAATGAAAAATTAAACCATAGTTGTTTTTGCATTATCTAGAAATCAATCTATACAAAATAAAACCCAAATATTGGTATATGGCATATATGACCAAACTAGTGCAAAGTGTCCATATAAAACTTTGTAAATAAGATTTAAGTTTTTCAACTCAACATGACTCTTGAAAAAATGACACTGCGAGTATTCAAGTTTTATCAAATACACTAGCCTATTCACAAAACAAACTTCATGCCAAAAGCAAAAACAATAACTTTACAATGCTTTGTAAATCAAATATGATACAATATGTACATTGTTTTGTACCTAACCATTTCCTCTTTTTCATGCACTTGTGTTTTCTTTATCTGGACATCTCTTGTACCATAGGAGGTGCTTGTCGATACATTGTAGTTTCTTGCCTATACCTTTCCCTATTTCTCTCCCATCCTATAAAAACCAAAAATATAAACCATATACATGTATGTATAAACTTTACATTGTGTTCGTTACACATGACATAATTGTATTGGGCTGGACTCGATAAGTTTTCTAAGGCTTAGGGGGTGTTTGGCTTATCTTTTTAGGAGACAAAAATCCTTTTGGCAAAAGTTACAAAAAAGTCAGGATTTCCTGACTTTTCCAAAAAGTCACTTTTCCTTATATCAAAAATTCAAAAGTTGCTTTTAAAATGTTTTTACCAAACATCTTTTGCATTTTATCTTTTTCAAAAAGAACTTTTGGGCTCTCAAAAATAAGCCAAACACCCCCTTAGATAATAAGGATGAGGTGAAGATTCATGTCATTTTCATAAATGAGATTAAAAGCAAACCGATGTCCACTTTTTGGGGTGGGATATAATCATACAAAAATGCAATTTGTGTCCTATTAACATTAGAATTAGTCCTAATCTAATGCATGTCAAATGCAATATGACATATCTTGTTCTGCATAATATGAAAAAGGGTACCTTGGAAAACTATAAATCCTTGGTGTTCGAGTTGACGATATTGTTGACATAGTGCACACTGGTGACACCATAGATGAAGACAATAGTCACTAGACAAACTTCCCTTTAGATTCCATTGTCTTCTCATTTTGGTGCGATATAAAACCATTATAAAATGTAGCTAAAATAAAACCAACAATCCACCCTTGATAACCCATGGCGCCGAAACATTTATGTTTGAATAGAATAAGCCATATATAATCAAGAATTTCCATAAACCCTATTTGGACTACATATAAAAAGCAATAAAGTGATCCTGGTTCAATCCAACCTACAACATTTCAAATAAATAATAAAATTAGATGTTGCAACTTTTACACGGTTAATATTATAAATATGTAGTAAATCAATTTTTCAGTAATTCTTATAAAATGATATATTCGAACGTAAGCAGCTCAAACTTTTTATTTTTTATACGATTTTTAATAGTATTTTGTAAACAAGACCGTTGAAAAAACAACGGTTTTCAATATGGTTTGTTATAAATTTATGACATTAATACAATTTTATGTAGAGATTTTTTTTTTCTTTCAGAATGCTGACTTGTTTCTCCTTCGTTAACAATTTCTGCAATCTTCCCAAATGCAACACATGGACAAAGAAGTACCAAAACACCTGAAAATAGGGGAAGAAATTGAAATCAACTCAATAAATAGGTTTGATATTAATAAATTGTTGAAAATATTATGTATTGAATTCGTACTTATTTTGAAGTCGGAAAAGCAATCGTAAAGACCAACTGCCCAACTATTTGGTGGGTTAGGATAATAAATTGGTTCTTGGCCGGCGGCGAGAGGTGTAGGAAGAGGAAACGGCGGAGGAATGCCACCAGAATTTGGCCAAAACATCGGCATCATTTGGTTGCCATTTTGCACGTTTGATGATCGTGGTGATGTATATTGGCTGTTGATGGTTGTTGTTGGTTGCACAAATGGCGGTGGCGGTGGATTCCGGTGGTGGATTTGAGATTGATTTGGGGTTTGCTTCATTGTTTTTGATTTGAAGAAAGGAAAGAAAAATAACGTATTGATAGGGAACAAATGTTCTTATGAGATGAATTAATCTTTTTTCTGAAAGTTATAGATGAAAATTTGATGATTGTTTTTGCTTTTGTTTGGAAAGAACAGACGTGATTTTGGAGATTTTTTGAATGATTATCTCAAAGCTAACAATGTATTTGGACAAAATCTCTAATTTTAGGCTCTCCAAAATACTCTTATACCCTGTAATCTTTACGACTTTATTATAATAGTAGTAATAACTAAGAATAATATTCTTAATATTATTAAAAAAAACTCAATGTATTATTATTATTATTATTATTTTTTGAACCATGTATTATTTTCTAATGTTAAAAGAAACTATTATATTATTAGGTTATAACCCGTATTTATATAATAAAAGAAACAAATTATTTGATCATACAATCGCAACAAACTTTTATATATATATATATATATATATATATATATATATATATATATATATATATATCAAGTTTTATATTTTTATAAATATATAATATATTATAGAGGGTCAAACTCAATAATTAAAATCAAAATTCAAGTTTTCAAAATGACTTAATTTTACACTTTCTCACCATCTATCCCCTTTGATCCCCAATTCTAACTCTTTCTATTTTATCTTCTAAACTTACTATGAATTTTGTCATTTCATCATTCAACTTCAGTATTTCACTTTTCCTTTTCGCTTCCTCGCAAGCTACTTTCCAACTTTTAAAATGTTTCAACCCGACATGACACAACATATTTACAACGTCTAAACTTTAAATTGAAACCCGACACGAAAATAAACAGGTCGATACGACACGATAATTAAAAGAGTCGGGTTAGGATCAAGCTCTCTCAACCCGTTTAATGTCTTAACACAACACACATGCTTGTCGGGTCTAATTTTAGGACCAACAATCCAGGTTCTTATTAATTTTTTTGTTCTTTTTTTGTTTATATTGTGATTAATCTTTAACTTTGACGAAAAAAAAAAGTTTTTGTAAGATATTTGTATTTCGTAACGTGTGACAATAAATTTAGAAAACCTTCAACAACATATCACTATTTTTTTATAATATAAAAGTATAAAATAAAATGTTCAAAACTGAACTAGATAATATAAAAATTCTTAAATTCTTAGATTATTTGAGAATAATCTAAGAAAATATCTATTATTTACTTACAAGAGAGTTGAAATGTATCGTTATTGCTTGTTGGTAATCAATTGTAATTTTGCAAGATAACAACAATTATGAAATATGTTTATTGTTGGTAATTAATAGCAATATGAAGTGGAAAGGTTAGAACTTAGATTTTTTATTTTTTATTTTTTTTTTTGGAGAATATATCATTATATATTTTTTCAAAATAACAACATTTTTAAAAGCATTTATCAAATCTGAGTAATCACTACATGATTCACTTGTCATTGTATAATTCAAAAAATATGTAATATACGATTTAATCAATTAAAAGAGAACCGATAGGTGAGAAAATATATATGGTTATCAATCAGTTCATGGTATTGATTTTAAACATGTAATCGTTGTATACTTGTATGTATTGAATTTAGCTATAAATTTTGCATAACTACCGAGAAAAAATAGAAGGATGACACAAGTGATTTTAATCAATTATATTAAAATATATAACAATATAAAAACCTGATTCATGATAGATTTTAGTCTTTAACTAGTTTAGAATCTAGAATCGAAACTGATTTCTCTTTATACTCATTTCAATCAAATTTTAAACCAATCCTAAAACTAAAGTCATGTCAAGTCAAATAAAAAAGAAACAACACCATGGCAATTTTTAACATGAACAATGAAACCTAAGACAACATACACAAGATAATATGTTAACTTAGGATAAAAAAGCAAAATTACAAGAGTTAAATAAATAAAGTAAAGCAAAGCAAACTCCTGAAACTGAGTTTTATACACACTCAACAAAAACATAATCAAACATAAATAAAACAAAAAATAGGTTTCAAAAACACACATTCTCACATGATGGTGCATCGGCTTTTTTCCTCAGTTGGCTGGACGTTGACCTGTTGATACCTGTTTGACTCATTTGGGTTGTATGTGAACTCCGATGTATCAAGCCCATACTGTTCACACACACACACACACACACACACAAAACCAAAAATAAAATTAGCTATAAATAAAACTTAAAACTAAACGAAATAAAAAAGAAAAAAAATACTAATGTTTTAGAATTTAGACACGCACCTTTTCCCTCATTCGTGCACTCCATGCGTCATTTCTACTAGGGCGGCTGTCTAGGGTTCCTGGGACAGGGGCACCGGCGGCAGGTGGTGGTTGTCTACCAATCAACGGCTGTCGTTGCTGCCTGGGGCCCGCTATGTATTCATCATCACTATCATAATCTTCTGGACTATTTGCAGCCCTTACCATAAGAGCTAACAAGAACACAAGAACCTAAAAAATCCAATTGTAATCATTATATAAATAGTAATAATAATAAGGGCATTATGGTAATTTTCATGATATTAGTGCCTTTTACCTGCAATACAACAGCTCCAAGAGCAACCCATCTGCATATGTTCCAATTCTTCTCAATAAATCCATACATCATGTTAAAATCTCCCGTTTTGTCATCCGGAATTTTCTAAAAACAAATTTACATTTAAATAATCAGATAAATTTTTAATACAAAATATTCAAAAAAATATTAAAGCAAACTCACGGATCTCCAGCTTTTGTCAAAGAAGATAAAAGCAGCACATCCCACTTCCACCATAATCAACAAGATCACAAGAACAGAGTACTAAATTCGATTAAGGAAAACAAATAATGACCGATATACCCTTATACATGTCTTATACTAACTCCAAAATTATAGTGATCAGACTTTTTATTCTTTATCCATTAAGACAAGTTGTTATAGATTTTCAACCTTTATGGTTTTTATCTCTTTTTTATCCATGTGGGACGAGGGGTATTAAAGTAAATTGCATGTGTAATTATCTTAAAAAATATGGATTTAATGAAGCTGTAAAGTAGGATACACAAGTTAGGCAACATCCACTTCGAGTTGCTGCTCCAATGCAACCAAAACAAGATATGACAAACAAAATTGCACCAACACCAACAAATAGATAAATAAACCTGCATAAAAAAAATGTTAATTACTTTAATAAAAATGTTTCATTAGTTAAAGTAACCATTTTGACATGATATAACAAACTTAATTGGTGTAACCTGATATAACACTTCAAAATGGTTAATTTGAAAAAATATCTGAAACTATAATGATTTGATTGGAAAAGAAATAAAGTCTGTAGTTTTTTCTGTAAAGTTGTACTTTTTGTAGTAAGTGAAAAAGAAACATCACATTAAGTCCATTAAGTAAAAAAGAAACAAGAAAAAACATATACCAAAGAGTAGGCAAGTTATCAAAGATGTTGTTGGAAGACAATGTTATAGCCATTAACATAGGGCGACCAAGTTGTATTAATTCATCATGTTGTGGGCCCCAGTCATCTTTCGAACTTTTGTACATAATAAACATGTAAACACCATATCCCACCATTGCAAGACCAAGAAGTGTCAACAAGAAGTTTAGGAGCTTCAATAAACATTCCAAACACCCCTTACAACCCATATTTTGTATTGATTATCCTCAAGTTGATAAAACCACAATCGTATGACTTCAATCCTACATTATAATAGCCAAAAGGGAATTGAATATAAGATTAGTTGTAGTAAGGGTAAACACAAAACAAGAAAAAAGGTGAGGAAATACAAGTAGATATAAGAAACCTTAATTGATTGAACATAAAAATGTTTGTTTAATGACCTAAGTAGCATAGAAATGTTAGTTTAGTCATCAAAATTAACAAAATAAGATAACTAGTTTCAATTAGGGCTTCTTAATTTTCTTTTAACAACCACTTCCATCATAAGGATATTCAAAATCAAGGTGGTGTTTACTTCTTTGCTTTTCTGGTAAGCATAGAGATTTGATCACTCATAAAAGTCATACCTTTAACTCAAAAGAATCAATTTTGATCACCTTTCATAGTATATATATATATCCGGTTAGCTACAAGATTCTTCTGTCAATTTTTCTCAAAATTATGCAGCTTAAGAACAACAATATGACCTAAAACCTAAATTTTCCGCAGGCTAAGACATGAATTTTCCGTGAAACCAAACAAGGTCTCGTGAATTTTGCAAACATAATTCGACGCATTCACAATCCGGGGTCTGTAGATCATCGCAGGAAAACCCAATTGATCCATGACACCAACATTGGATTCATGATTCAAGGAAATTCAACCCGATCTTAAAAAGTAAAAGAAACAAGAATTGCAATAACCCAGTTGAGAATTTTGATCGAGAAGAAGAAATGAACCTAAATTGCGGATGATCGGATGAAGTACTTACACATATAGGCAGCAAAAATGGCTGAATTTTCAGATTTCGAACTGGAAGACGAGAGGAAAAGGGTGTGGGAATAAACTGAAACCAGATGTCAAAAATCAAAAATTGGTTTTTTTAAGAAGATCTTTATCCCAAAAATGTTATTCAATTGCTGGCCCTAATTGTTTTTCTTTGTGGACCAGGGGAATGAGACACCACAAACCGGCGACCACCAATAAAAAACTTTACAACCAAAAGTAAATTATTTAATTAATCAATAACCTAGATTTCATGATTAGATTAACGGGTAATACACATAAAAGTAAGGGTGAGCATGGTGCGGTTTGGTGCGGTTTTAGGGCCAAACCGAACCGCAAACCGCAATGTGCGGTTTTTGAATTCTAGAAACCGTCGGGTGCGGTTTTTCAATGGTTTGGTTTTGCAGTTTTTGAGTGCGGTTTCGGTTTGTACCGGTTTGGTGTCGGTTTTAAACCAAGCCAAACATATGGTACGGTTTTTTAATTTCACCGGTACGATATTTTTAACCGTGAAGTTCATGTGAAGATTTATAATTGTATGTCATGGTGTCATTTCGTTTCTTCACATTTAGAAGCTGTAATTTTGAGTTTTTTATGTTGTTTAGTTGATCACTTCATTTGTAACCCATATTCTCAAGCTCATATTTTTATTCAATTTGCGCTTAGAAGTTACAACCTTGCAAGTTGTAGCCCACATAGTGTTTACACTTTACACATAATCATTAAGTCACAAACACAAAGTGACAAACTCACATATTAAACCTAATACTTAATTACTAATTACCGTCAAATTCAATATATAATATATGTATAAATTAGAATTTATTAGTTTTTTAAATAATATGTATAATTGTATAATATAAATTAGTGATTTATTTTATTGTTAATAAGCTTGCGGTGCGGTTCGGTTTTGGTGATTCGGTTTCTAGATAAAAAACCGCACCGCACCAATAAATTCGGTTTTTCAAAAAAAAAAAAAATTCGCACCATCGGTTTTTGCGTCGGTTTTGGTTTTTCGGTTGCGGTTTATTACGGTTTTTGCGGTTTTTATTTTATCGGTTCGGTTTTTGCTCACCCCTACATAAAAGAGTTCATTCTACCACATGAAGTTATTTGAAAAAGTCATTAATTAAAATAATTTAGCAAAGGGTTTATGTCATAATATGTAATAAATTATATAAAATATTTTTAAAATATCATTAAACTAAATAAATGTTGTTAAAAGATAACGAACTTTTATTATTGTTTTTAAAAGACTAAAGTAACTGAGATTTATATGTTTTACAATTGTCTTTTAAAAACAAAAGCAAATTTTCGTTACATTCTGACAACATTTATAGTTCAATAATATTTTCATCGTCCTTGGTTTATTATCTTTTTTCCTTTCAACAACTTAAGGTTGTCAAATAACCGTTTTTAAGATGTAACCATCTAATGAAATTCAACATATCTTTAATTTGAACAAATAGATTAGTATTTCATTAGTAGCATATAGAGAAATTAAGTATCTATTTAATTTGAGTCAATGCATGAAAGGATAAATATATGACTATATCCATGTTTGTGTGTGTGTGGGGGGGGGGGGGTGGGGGGGGGGGGGGTTGTTTGTGTGAAGCGATGGGTAGTGGGTTTAGATCCAACATGAGACTGTTTTTTTAGAACGACAATGCACACCTCTAATATACTCATAAACTACTCTTTAAATCTACCTATATCACATACAGAATTTAAACCCTCGTCATCATGGAATGATGACATCTACCATATTGTAGGTTCCAATATGAGATTGTTAACCTCTGCTTGTATAGATTAATGGAGTATGGAAGGTTTTGGCAACTTCCTAACATTTTCAGTGAGAATATATTGATGTCATGTAACGTTCCAAAAATACCAACTAAAATTTTCATTTTTAAACCATCAAATCCATACAAACGTTTGTTCTAAAACCAATCAGAGTAAAATGCATCTCTCAAACATCATAGTAAAACAATAATAATCAGTTTGGAAAAGCCATCAGGGGATGCTATGCGGTTAAGTCGGGGCCCTTTCCTTTGGAACTGGATGTACCTGAAAACATTTTAAACATAAACCGTAAGCATAAAGCTTAGTGAGTCCCACAAAATACCACATATCATACATAAGATAGTGCATGTTATGGGCCAAGTCATAGCCTTACAACCACTTCTTGCCATGGGCCAAGTCATAGTCTTACAACCACTTCTTGCCATGGGCCAAATCATGGTCTTTCCTTGCAATTTCGAGGGCCAGATCCGGGTCTTAGATACAAGTCTCAGGGGTCACCACCTGGTCTTTCATGCAAGTATCACAAAAACAACTAGCATCATATATCGTATAGTGATAAGACTTACTTTGCTGACGTAGTCAACAACTAACACCTCTCACAGCCAACGAACGACTGCTATACACCTCTTAATAAACCACACAAAGTAAACTCTTAGTCTACATTCTAAAATTAAAAATTTGGCCAAAAGTCAACCTATGTCAAAAGTCAACAGTCAATGTCAATAGTCAACATCACTATCAGCTGATACTCACGTCGTGACCAGCCCATGGTCACGTCGTGGCTAACAAACTCGGCCCATGGTGATTATCAGTTAGCCTCATCGGTGTTTCAAAGCAACAACTGTTGGTGTAAAATGTTGTTTAAAGTCTTATATGGTGTAATGAGACAATAACCTAAGTAAGTAATTGAGTTGTAACATGTCAAAATATAAAGGAGTAGGATAAGAAATATGTGTGTTTGTTGTTCTAAAAAGATTACTTAGTTGTAGTAGTTTGTTATGAAACGGAAAACTAATTTACTCATAACTATCACCATCTAAGTCTTAAGTTAGACTTGAACTCATGATCTTTCAAATGAGAGTCACTCATTACTGCTAGACCAAAAACTCTTTGGTAAGTTGAAGAGTTGTGATAATTTTAAAATAAGATAAATGATAGGATATCTCTATTATAATTTAAAAGTATCATCTATATGAAATAAGCTCTTTGAGACTTGAGAATACATTTAAGATACTCTTTAACAAAGGGAAACTCAAATTATTACAAATCAAAATTAATATTACAAATATATCGTATCTATCAACAACTTCATTTGGTATTCTTTTTATTGGAAAAAATATCTACAAATACAATTGGACAAAAGGGGTTCGCCAAGTGAAGACATATTAGTATATTACATAAGCTCTCCATCAAGTCAACAACCACTCCCATAAAACCCATCCTGTCAAAGATGGGATAACATTATACAAAGTTTAATGTACAATGAAGATATTTTTTTTAAACAACATATGATTTCAAAGTTGAAATTTGTTGGATTCAAAAAAATACTTCATTTTAAATGTGTTTATTCTGAATCATCATCATTAGAACATTTTGATGATTATAACTAAAATTTTAACTAATATCTAAGAGACATAAATATGTAACATTTTATCTCATTAAAAAGTGGAATAATGTGGGTTGATCAAGTCTTTTATAATTCTATTTTGAGTATAAATGTGAATTTAGAAAATCAATATAAGTTTTCTTGAAATATCTTTGGGTAAAATAACTTGGTGAAAGAAGAAAAAAAAACAAGTTATTGAATAAATTTCCTTGAAACGTAGTTTTGTTCACCAAAGTTGTAAAATTACTTAGTTTTTTTTTTCCATAGTGAATATATTTTATACATTTATTCTATTAACAACTAATAAAAATGGTTGTTTTTTTAAATAAAATGTAAAAATCTATATAAAACTTTAATCTATAAATCTTATTTTTTTAATTTTATAAGATATAAATAAGAAAAAGTCAGAAGCATTTTTGTAATGAAATATCATTTATTATATATTAATTAAGATGTATTTATTTTAATTTGTTGCCTTTTAGAAAAAAAAATTGTGTATATATAATATTTATTTATTTTAATTTAATCTCAAATATGTATATTTATATAAAAGAATAAGTAAATTTAAATCAGAATATATATATGTTTTAATTTTTTTTCAATGACATACAAATATAAATAGTTATATATTATTAAGTTATTTAAGCTTCATATACTATGAAGTATACTGATTTGTATAAAAAAATGATACAAATTGAAATTGTAGAAATAGACTTTATGGTTTGTTGAGTTGAGGCAAAAAAAAAAGTGAAAAAGTCTTTTATTTTATTTTGGATGCTTAAAGCATATAATGAGTTTATAGTATAAACTTGTCTCGAACTCTTTTTGTTTTTTAGAGCCGTATTTATGGCGTTTAACTGTTTAATATTTACGTATTTGAATATCAAATTTCAATTATCCAGAAGGATCTTATGTAAAATACATATCAACAAATCCATTCATACGCCTCTTAACTTAAAAAAATAGACCCGAGAAGACATTATTATATTTGAATAGATACATCTTGTACATTTAAATATTTAATACTTTATAATAACATATAAAAATTAAAAAGTAAAATTTGAATTTCCAAATTACTTCACACCCTACTCAAAGGGATTCTTGATATTTTGGCCTTTTCCTTTTGGCACACCTTGATACACCATAATGATAATGGCATCATGGGCTGGTCTTGCTTTATTCATTTTCGTAACAAATAGATTTGACAAAGTTAATTCATTTAACATAGAATGATTTTGAGTTGTATTATTTTTAAATTTTTAAAGGTTCATAAATGGAAAATCATGACAAGAATAAATGTATCATCAACTATGTACTCGGTTGCTTACATTTAGAGATGAACAAAAGAGTATAAAGCTAAAACCGGTTCTCGACTGATATGAAATTTGTTAGAACTACAACATGAATTAAGATGGCCTTGATGTAGTTTTTCAATTAAAAGATTATTAAAAGAATTGTAATCATAATTTGATGGAATTTTAACTACTCGGTAAATTCTAGACAAAAATATAAGGAATTTTATAACATTTTTCAAAAACCTCTAAACATAGTCATATTTTAGAGTTCTTTAAAATCACTTTTAAAATATTTGAGTAGAGCTTGTACAAACCAACACAAATTTTCTCCATCCACACGACAAATTGCTAAAGCAACATTACAACCGTATTTCCAAACAATGTGATAAATGCTATATTCCTTCAACAAAACCAGTCCTTTAAATGATGTTATCTTGCCAATTATATACCAACA